TAAATTTTAAATATTATTAAATTTATTATTATTATTATTTTTAAATTTTTATTAAAAAAGCCCTAAAATCCGTGGGTTTTTACAGCAAAGTTTCCCTGTATCAGTTGTTAAGGAACCCTTTATCTTAAGCATCATACATTAACATCTAAGCCACCTCCGACAAGAAACAAAATTCCCCCCCCCAAAAAAAAAAAAAAATAACAAACTTTTTAAAGGCAAAAAAATGATTTAAAAAGCAACATTTAAAGGACATCATGAAACCCCGCAATATAATGAAGGGCAGACCCAAAAAGTATAAAAAAGACGAAACAATGATGGACAAACCAACGGGATATTAAGACACACAAAAACAGTAGAAACCCACTGTAAAGTTAAGACACAATACATGATGGAGCAACCAAAAGGTATATTAAAAAAACACAATACAGCAAAACCCCACTGTATGAAAAAAAACAATACAGTGATGGAGGGGAGACCCCGGTATATTAAGGGGCACACAATAAAGCAGACCGACGGGATATTTTAAACACACAATTCAGTGATGGAGCAGACCGACGGTATTTTTAAAAACATAAAACATAAGAACATAAGAACCCAAGGAACACCTGCCAAAAGGCCTACTGGCCCATGCCCAGGCGGTCCAAGTCTCCTACCGGGGTTAAGCCAATGCACCCAACCTAGTCCCGGCAGGTCCCCATTGACTTAAGGGAGGAACACGGCAACCCACCTGGTAGCAAAAAGCCATCAGGTCCCAACTCAAAACCCCCCACAACTACTCTGTATTTATCCAACCCATTTTTAAAGCTACACAACGTTTTAGCCCTATAACGGACTTGGGGGTTTGTTCCACTCATCCACAACCTATTAAGAAAAACCCGTACTTTTCCCATAAACCTTCCTGAATCTGAATTTTTTCCAAAATTAAAACCCTTGCTGCGAGTCCTGTCTAGGCTAGATATTTTCAGCACACTATTTACAAACCCCTTTAATTTTTTTCCCCCGGCTTCCATTTTTTAAAAACCTCAAACATATCCCCCCCCCCAAATCTAAATCCTTTTTTTTTTTAGAGAAAAGGGAGTTTCAGGGCCCCTTTGTCTACCTCATAGGAAGGGTTTCCCGATACAAAGGGATCAAATTTGTCATCCTCCTTTGTACATTTTCCAAAAGAAATTTTTATCCAAATTTTGTAAAACGGTGACCAAAAAACTGTGCAGCATAATCAAAGAGGGGCCAAAACCCAAAGGGTGTAAAGATTAAGAACAAAACCCGAGGACTCCCATTAATTTTTGCTTCTTGTAGAAAACCAAAGGGTTCTATTAGCTTTATTGCGAAAAACTTATGCACTGTTGGGCTTGGTTTTTAGATTTACCCGCTTAAACCCGAACTCCAAAACTTTTTTGCAATTTCCCAATATTAAGATTAAAATTATTTATTTTATATTGGCAGGGGTTTTTGTTTCCGTCCAACATTTTTGAAAATTTTTCATTTGTCTAAAATTAAACGCATCTGCCACTTCTCCACCACCGCATCAGTCTTTCAAATCTTTTGGAGTGCTCGATGTCCTCGCAAATGAAAAACGAACCGCCTATTTTGGGTCATCGGCAAACTTGCCGATGTCCCCTCTTATGCCCCCCATCATGTCGTTTAGTAATTGTGAACCCGCAGGGGGCCCCAAAACTGGGCCCCTGTGGAACACCGCCCGTGAAAAAACTTCCCCACTCTGATTTTTTTCCCCATTTTTGCAAAAATCTCGCTGCCTATTTGTCAACCATTTCCTCAAACCAGGGAAAAAAATTTTTCCCCTAAACCCCTGTGCTTTAATTTTTTCCCCAACATTCCCCGATGTGGACCCTTTCAAAAGCCCCTTTCTGAAGTCCCCCCATTTCACAAAATCATATTTTTTACCTGGGTCTACCCCCCTCAACTACCTTAGTGAAAAAAGTTAAAAATTTGTAAGGCAGGAACGCCCCTTTTTAAAACCATGCTGAGATTCGTTTTATTAAAATTTTTCTTTTCAAGGTGGGTACGAACTGCCTCGGGAATTTAAATTTATTCCATAAAATTTTCCCCCTATGGAGGGAAGCTTATTTTGGGCTATAGTTTTTGAAGCTAAGGGCCTGGCAAACCCGTTTTGAAAAAAGGGAACACATTTGCCATTTTCCACTTATCTGGGACCCCGGGCCCTTTTTAGTGATAAGTTGAAAAGATTAGCCAAAAGGTTTTGGGTAAGGGTCCTCTTTAAAAAAATTTCCTTTTTGAACCCTTGCATACAGTTCCCTCAGGGCCCGGGGAAATTTTTAGGTTTTAATTTAAAATATTTTCCTAAGGACCAAGGGGCACTTGTGACCCTAATTGTGCACAGTTTATTATCGTCCCTGTTCAAAAATTAAATTTTTCATTTCTGGAATTTTCCCTTGGTACCTTTCCCGTTAAAAAAATGAGAGGAAGTATGTGTTTAAAAAATTTTACACATTTTCCCTTTTCCCCTGTCAGGAGCTGACCCGAGGGGAAATTTTGAGTGGGGCCCATCTTGTCCCTGATCTTTCTTCTGTATACCCGAAAGAATCCTTTTGGGTTAGTCTTCGATTCTCTTGCAACCCTTTTAAACCCCTCCCCCCAGGCCTAAATTTTCTACCCTTATCCAAGTCTTTTCGTAATGTCCCGGCTTTTTTTTTCCCCCGGCTCGGATCTCTCCCCCCTCCTAATAGTTGGGGTCCCGCTGAGTAGCTAGCTTTTCTGAACACCGCATCTCATCCCCCAAAATGGTAGCACAGACAAGATTTCAGATGTCCCCATACCATTCATATTTTAAAATTTAAATTTATATAGTTGTTGTACAAAAGTACAGAAAAGGGAAACAATTTGAAAATGATACGTGATGGGGCCAAAACCCACGGTATATATTAAACACAAATACATTTTATAGAGGGAGATCGACGGGAAATTAAGGAAAAAATCCCCTTTACGGGAAAAATTTTTGGGGAAATTTCCCGTCAAGGATTTTAACAATTCACAAATTTTTTTTACTCGTTTTGTGTATTTATAAACACAAAACAAACGCTATTAAGGGATCAACGTTTAAAACGGTTTTCAAACCCGCGAAAAAAAAGCTTATAAATGTGTATGTGGGGAAAACAACTACATGAAATTTTTTCCCAAAAAAAAAGTGGTAATAACATTTCAAATTGTATTCCTTACTGTAAATGTGTAAAAAAAACATATAATTAAAATTTTTAAAAAAAGAAATGGCTAATGTGACATCCCGTAAACTTGTCTGTGCCAAAAACCCCTGGGGGTGAGATGCGGTGTTTTTCAAAGCTACTACTCAGCCGACCCAACTATTAGGAGAGGAGAGAGATCCGAGCCTGGGGAAAAAAACCTGACATTACGTAAGACTTGGGCAAGGGTAATATTTGACCTGTGGGGAGAGGTTTTTTAAAAATCAAACCTGAGACGTTTTTGTGTACCTTAGGGGTCAAAGAAGGTTTTCTGGATGATGTCGGGTTTTATAAACCATCCCCTTGGAAATCTGGCCCTTTTAAATGGGAAATTTTTTCGGTGGCTCCCACACGAACAATGCCCGCAAGTTCAAGGTAAAGTAGTCCCCCAACTGGGTCCAAATTAAAAAAAAAACGCGTGGGAGAACACATTTTTTGGGGGGACAACGTTTTCCCCAGTATATAGCTCTAACCCAAACGTAATCAAAGCGAAATTTTGGGCCTTTTTTAAAAGCTTTTTTTTAAACGAAAGTTTCCTTCAAAAACAAAGCTATTTTCCTTTCATTCCCCCATCATGGGCATTGTTCCCACTTTTCTGAATTTTCATTTTTTACCCTCCCTGACCCTCGGGGTTTTCCGGGAAACTTCCCCAAAAAGATAACGAGATTTCTAAAACCCGATCCTGGTGAAGGGGTGAGGCTTTGGGGTTAGCCCCGGGTGTCCCTGATGCGATTTCCCCCTCCGTGAAGTGGTGGGGGGCTGACGGGACCACTGCTAGGGGAAGGGGTCACCGTTTTGGGACAACTGTTCATCCCCTTTTGAGAGGGCCCCCTATCCACTCCACCCCTCCAAGATGCTGTGCCATAAGGGGCCTGGTAGGCTGATGGTCTCGTTCCTTTGTTTTAAAACTGCTGGTGCAAAGGGTCCCCCAGGATTGCGCACCCTACAATAATAAATAAATTTCTAGGAAAAATTTTTAGATTTGGGGAAAACACACCACACACACCCCACACACACACACACACACACACAAAACCCCCACAAACACACACAAAACACACAAAAAGGGTCACAGTAAACAGGTGATTTCAGAATAAAGCAAAACAACCACTGTAAAAAATAGAGAATTTTCCCAAACGCTTTCGGGGACTACTCACATTTTCAAGGAACCAAAGAAAGTAAAACAACAAAGGGGGAAAGGGAATAAAAGGGGGGGAGCCCACACCTCACTATCAATCCCACAAACAACGAAACCCTGACGCAAAACAGCAGGCCCGCCGGCCCCAATAGACAGGTTTCCCTTTATACAACCCACAGCAAACTATTCTCCCAAGAAATAAAAATTTAAAAAAAATTATTATTTTTCCAATGTATTATTAAATTCTTCCCAAATTCTATTTAAATTTTAAATGGTCTAATTTATAAAACCCCAAAAGGGAAAATTCATATTATTGTCCAAAAACTGCTTTTTTTGAAACAAGATTCAATTTTTAATTTCCCGTTGAAACCCTTGAAATTGCTTTATTTTTTACTTTTTCCCCCAAATTTTTGAAAAACAAAATTTGGGTGGTTAAAATTTTCTTACATGAAAAAAATAGAGCATTGGAATCTTGTCCATTTCTAATGCTATATTTAGTTGTTTTAATCTTCGAGATTTTTAAACCCAGTTTTACCGTAAAAAAACTTTATTTGCAAATTTTTTCAAAAATCTTATAGACACAATTTCCCCCACAATTTTTGGGGGGAAATTTTTATCAAAAGTTTTTTTTACAGCAGTTAAAATCATATATTGCAATGACAGCCATCATTTCTTTGCCTGCTGCGCTTTTTGTACTGGGCGTACTTGAGAATCTTCGCCCAAGAGACAGCTTTGTTCTTCTCACTGGCGTCTATATAAAAAACTTGTTGACCCGAGTACAGCTTCTTCGTGAGTTTCTTCGTATAGAGGACTTTGTCTACTTGGACGTGTTTTATTCCTGCGGCATGAGCGACAAGTCCTGTGATGTAGACGTCCTCCAGCCAGAGGAAGGGAGTGTGAGAAATGTAGGCCAGCAGGCGGTCAACAGCGTTGCGGCCCAGGATGTACGCAGGACCCAAAACAAACGGTGGGAAGATCTCCTCCGGGTACTCCTCCTGTAGGAAAAGACATGTGGTTACTATTGTAGCCTTAAAAGTTTCCTTCCAGCCTGGCTGGAGTTACTCTCGTTTAGGAATTACAGTCTCTCTCAGGATAGTCGGTTCCATACACAGGAAAAAGGGAATTTTTATGAAGATTTCTGCATCATCGTAGAGCGGGAGGGCAAGAGAAATAAAAAAGAGATGACTCCCTCTTCACAACTGTCTAAACTGAATACAATGAATGCAAGGAGCATTGCTTTATACAGTAGCAGAAAAAACTAAAGTATAAGGTGTGTAAAACATCTTTCTATACTGAAGATTTCAGAAGCTATTAAAAATAAAACTTCTAACTAGAAATAATGCAAGCAGTTACTACGTGTATTGCAAGGCGTTTTGCTTTCTAGCAATCTTCAGTGAGAGAAGAACATACCTTATGAAGAACTTATCACGTGATCTGCAACAATGTTGAAAGTAAATATCGGGAACTAAAACATTTTTTTTATCAGGAAGTATAGTCCCGAAATCTTCATACTTGAGTGGAACGTTAAGTAACAAAGTAACTCCGTTATAACCCAGGTCTCACCTCGGTAACGGCCCATTTGCCGTTCCTGTGAGGCTTGGCCCCTTTCCAGAAGCGCCCGTGGATCTTGGCGGGCGCCGAATCCTTGTGGATTTCCTCCTGAAGGTAAGCGACCAGGTGGAAGGGGTTTACCACCAGATCATCGTCCACCTTCACTATGAAGGGCGTGTCTGGACAAAAGTCCCTCACCCACGACAACCACGAGATGCTTTTGTACGTCAGGTTTCTAAGGTGAGTGACGCCAGGGAGTAGATTATTATTATTATTATTATTATTATTATTATTATTATTATTATTATTATTATTATTATTAAGAAGCCCTAAATCCGTGTTTCATACAGCATGTTGCGTGTATCAGTTGTTAAGGAACTTCATCTTATGCAGTCATACATTAACATGCTAAGCCACCTCCGACAAGATAACAAAATCCCCCCCTCCAAAAAAAAAAAAAAATAACAAACTTTTTAAAGGCAACATGATTTACAGCAACATTTATGGACATGATGAAACCCCAGCTAATATAATGATGGAGCAGACCAACAGTATATTAAGACACAGAATACAATGATGGAGCAGACCAACGGTATATTAAGACACACAATACAGTAGACCGACTGTATGTTAAGACACACAATACAGTGATGGAGCAGACCAACGGTATATTAAGACACACAATACAGCAGACCGACGGTATATTAAGACACACAATACAGTGATGGAGCAGACCGACGGTATATTAAGACACACAATACAGTGATGGAGCAGACCGACGGTATATATTAAGACACAATACAGTGATAGAGCAGATCGACGGTATATTAAGACACAAATCCTTGACGGGAATTGTGAATTGCCCGTCAAGGATTTGAGCAATTCACAATTCCATTACTCGTTTTGTGTATTTTATATACACGATCAAACGCTATTAAGGCATCAAGCGTTACACGAGGTTACTTACTAAGTCAGCGAAACAAGCTTATAGTGTGTATGTGGGAAGAACAACTACATGAAATTTTTTTCAAAAAATAGTGGTAATATCATTTTCAAATTGTATTCCTTACTGTACTGTGTACAACAATTTTAAAATATGAAATGGCTAATGTGACATCTGTAATCTTGTCTGTGCTACCACTCTGGGGATGAGATGCGGTGTTCAGTAAGCTAGCTACTCAGCCGACACAACTATTAGGAGAGGAGAGAGATCCGAGCCTGGGGAAAAAAGCCTGACATTACGTAAGACTTGGATCAAGGGTAGATATTAGAGCCTGTGGGGAGAGGTTTTGAATATCAGTCCTGAGGACGTTTAGTGTACCTGTAGGTGTCAAAGAAGGTGTTCTGGATGATGTCGTGGTTGATATCCATCTCTTGGAAGATCTGGTCTTGTAGAATGAAGTTGTCGGTGGCTCCCAGCACGAACAATGCCCTGCAAGTTCAAGGTCATGTAGTCCACAACTTGGATCCAAATTAAGAAAAGACACGCGTGGCAGAACACATTTTTGGGGGGGACAACGTTTCGCAGTATATAGCTCTACCAATCGCAATACAAAGCGAAATGTTGACCTTTTATAAAAGCTTGTTTTACAACGAATGTTTCCTTCAAATCAAAGCTGATTACCTTACATTCCCCGCTATCAGTGTCATTGTTCCCACTTGTCTGAATTTCTCATTGTTTACCTCCCTGACCCTCGCGTGCCGAACACTTCCCGAAATGATAACGAGCAGTACTAACCTGATCCTGGTGAAGGGATAGAGGCTGGGATTAGCCCAGGTGTCCCTGATGCGATTCCTCTCCGTGAAGTGGTGCAGGGCTGACGGCACCACTGCTAGGATGAAGGGGTCACTGTTGTTGCACACTGGCTCATCCTCCTGTGAGAGGTCCTCTATCCACTCCACCTCCTCCAAGATGCTGTGCACAGTAGGTCCTGGTAGGCTGATGGTCTCGTTCAGTTTGTTAAATCTGCTGGTGCACGTGGTCACCAGGATTGCGCACATACAATAATAAATATTACTAGGATTATTAGATTGGGAAACACACATACACACACACACACACACACAACACACACACACACACACAACACACACACACACACACACACACACACACACACACACACACACAATAAGATCACAGTAAACAGGTGATTTCAGAATATGCAAAACAACCACTGTAAAAGAATAGAGAAGTTCCAAGCGCTTTCGTGACTACTCACATTATCAAGGAACAATGAAAGTAAAGCATCAAAGGAAGGTTTTATAAAGGGGTACCCACACCTCACTATCAGATCCCACAAACAACGAAACGCCTGACGCGAGACAGCAGGGCCCGCCGGCCGAACTAGCAGGTCCTTCATACAACCCACTAGCAAACTATTCTACCCCAAAAAAATAAGAAATTTTAAAAAAAAAATTTATTTGTCCAATGTATTATTAAAATTTTTCCCAAATTCTATTAATTATAAATGGATTTTAAATTTTTAAAAAAACCAAAGGGAAAAATTCATATTATTGTCAAAACTGCTTTTTAAAGAAACAAGATTCAATTATTTTTCCTGTTGACCATTGACTTGCTTGATACTACTTTCTCAACTTTTTGAAAATCAATTTGGGTGGTTAAAATCTCTTTTCATGAATAAATAGAGCATTGGAATCTTGTCCAGTTCTAATGCTATATTTATGTTGTTTTAATCTTCGAGATTTTTACCAGTTTGACCGTAATAAACTTTATCGCAAATTTTACAAGGAATCTTATAGACACATCCATCAACATTTTGGGGGGAATTCTTTATCAAAAGTTTTTTTTTTTCTGTATCAAGATTTTTGAATACAACTTTAATATTAAAAGTCTTAAGAAGAGAAGGCATATCAACAAGTTTTTTCCACTTCCTGACCATTTAAAGCTAAAGAAATTTTTATTTTTATTTTTTTTTCCCTAACATCCCTGTAACTCATCTTTGTTTTTAATTTCGAGTTGTACCCTTGTGTACCTGAGACCCGCCTCTCAGACTAGTCCTCTCCACCTTGTCACTTCGTCTCAGTAGTTTTTATGTCGTACCCATGATACCCCTGATCCTTCGTACAGTGTCGTCAGATTTGACACTTTGAGTCTATCCTCAGCTCTTACCCCTTAGCTCTGGGACTAGTCTCGTTGCAAACCTTTGCATTTTTTCAGCTTCTTTACATGATTTATCAGATACGAGTTGCATACTGGTGTTTCTTGCTCCAAGATGGGATGATATATGCTGTGGAAAATTTCATTTATCTGAATGTATCATTATATACATAACAGTAAATGAAAAGATAATTATTATTTATCAGTTAGACATGTAGGAATTTGGGACACCTAGGTCGCAAAAAATGTCCCCCTTCGATACCTACCACTGTCATATCCACAAGTTGCTCTGGACCTATTAATCATAAATGAAAATATACATCACCAGGATACTGGTAAAATAAATAGAATTTGTGGACTTATATAAAATAAAAAAAGGAATAGTATATACACACAATTTATGTTAACAGATAATATTTCAATAATCATAACACTACCAATTTGACTGGAATTAATGTGATATCATATCTCAGAAAAAACCTCACTGTCCTATCTATGAAAATAACACTGGGCCAGGTTACTACATAAGACTTATCTGAGGTTCATGGAGCTGTCTTGTTCAGTCCGCCTGATATCTCAAGTTATGCAGGAATGCACATCCAACAATTTCGCCTCCTATTTGAGAGGTGTCAGCCCAATTTTTACCTCTAGAGCACGAAAAATTCTTCCCATTACACCAACGTTTCTAATCCAAATTCAAACAAAATGGCAACTGCCCTTCTGCACAGGCGCAGGCTCAGTTTCCCATTTTCAAAATATAATTTTTATTAAATAAATATAGGCCATCTATTTACCTATAAATTACCGTATTTACGGAAAATATATACAGTATTTTCCACACTGTGGCCAGACGGAGGTCGTTGATAAACAACTCAAATTGCTGATTTGGCAACGGTGGAGGACCTGGGTATCATATAGGATCTTCTGGCATCCACCACGGCGACATATACACAAGATTTAATCACCCTTTACACTTTGCCGTCCCCTGTGATCCAGAAAGTTTTCCCTAATACAATTTAAGGTATCTAGTACCCCACCATGCATTAACATTTTTATGGGCATTTAGAACAATTACATTTGTTAGATGATGAGTTTTGGGCAGTAAGATAGGGTGTTTAGCATAATCATCCAATCCAGCATTTTGTAACCTACCCTCTGCTCCTAATTACATTGTTCTCTAAATACAGCCTCAATTTCTCTATATAGAAACGTTTCCACAATTTTTTCTTTCCATCATCAATTTAATCTCATTTCCATAGATTTACCTCCTGTACCTCTTTATCCAATATTCAGAGATGTGAAAAACTATATGATATATTCATCTAGTTTAGAAATATAAACCCAACTTAGTTACATTGATTAGTTGGGTAACTAAGAATACCTATTTATATCAATGGCTAGGGAGGACAAACTAGTTGGAGCGGTGGTTCCACAGTAATATCAAATGGAGCAATATTACGCCTTTTTGTACAGGCAATTAGCATTATTACCAACCAGCACAGTCCTTAAAACCATGATAAACAGCATTTACAAATTTAGCATAAGGTAAACCTTGAGACAAGAAATCAGCTGGATTCTCCTCACCAGGTATATGATTAAATGTTAAACAATTATGCTGAACCCAAACTATTATACTTTCGCTAGCATCTGATTAATTTCAGCGACTCTGTTTTGTACGTACACAATTTTACTGTTTCCATTACGAATCCATTGTAAAGGATACCTCATTTATCAGACCAAATTAACAGTGTCGCTTAATATTTATCTCATGCAACTTATTTCTTATATAATTAGTCTAATTTTGACACCGTCATAAAATGGCTGTTAATTCCAACTGGGGCAAGGTATTGATTTAAATTGGAGACACTTTAGCCTTAGACATAACAAGAGAAAATAACACTATTACATTGAAGGTAAGGCAACTGCTCCCTATGCACTTTTTGAAGCATCACAAAAAAAATGTGGAGTACATTTTTCTATTTTGGATTGGCCCAACCTGGCGTGGGGAATTCCAACATTGGAATTTTCTCATAATTCACCAATTAACTCATCCCACCTGTTAATGAATTCCCTCAGGTTGAATTTCAATCCAAGCACATTTAAGTTTCCATGCTTCCTGTAATAATAATTTCCCTCTTATAGTAAGGGGTGACACAAACCTAGTGAATCAAAACTTTGGAAACTTCACAAGCAAAAACTCTCTAGTTAATTTATTGGGCATACTGTAATTGATTAGGTTTTAACATAAACATATCACACTCAGATCCCAAGTAAAACCCAATACATTACTTACCATTTTAGCAACTTCATCCCAGTTAATCTTTAACTTATTTGACCTTTAATTTGACGAAATTACTAATTCCAATCCTCGAGGCAAATTTGCACTTTGCATTATTTTATTAGTCTCTCCATAAGCATTAACATTCCTCTCAGTTGCGTCGACACCCAGGAATTGCCACATAAATTTAATTTGCTCATTACTTTACTCAATGGACTTTCATAAATTATAAGGTGTAGCGTTTAACGTCGCTTGAAGTAGGAATCGGACTGGATTGTAGCAACCAAATAATACGCTCCTAAAGCAAAAGGTTTTCAGAGGGCTAAGTGGGGTACCAATAGGATTCTCAGGCCCCATAAGAACGGTACAATCCCGGTCAGCCTCTTGTAAACCCACTCTTAGGAAACTTTACTTAAGTCAGCCGAAAGCATAATGCTTCACTCTGAAATTTTAATAAGATATCTTCCTAATCTTTCCGTCATGACGGACCTATCATCAAACGTCATTTAACTAGGTGCAATTTTTGTTACTCCAGGCACTTTACAATTAAACACAATCCTCAAAGGAATTGGTCTTAGAATCCTTCTTCACTTCTCCGTGATGTTGGCCATAGTGGAACCATAAATTTTGGCTTGTTCAGGAGTACCTCTTTATAAATTTATTAATTAACTGTTCAGCAATTATATCATTATAGTCAGTCACATAACAATTCTGGTGTCTTACACTAGTTTTCGCGACTGAGGCCTTAATTGTCCATATGCCTATTCGTAATTAGTGGGCAATTCTGGATTGTTTTACAGCTCTCCACGGATGTCGTACCCAGTAAGTCCATATTCAAATTTACAACCTCTCAGTATTGCTCCTGAGTAAAAGAATCGACCTGGACTTTCTCATTTACAATTAGTCCAATGTTTTGTCTCAATTCCCACAATTTAATACACTGGCCTCAACACCATCCTCCTCTGGAAGAATTATACTGGGGTACGATTTCATGAGAAAGACACACAGTTTATGGTATTTGTAGTTTCCTCTAGTCATGAATTATTATTACGAAAGAATCCTACATACATACAATTCCTCCAGCAGTCTTTAAAAGGGTGACACCACATTTCTTTACCACATACCCTTTACAAAGGAAGCATAATAGTCACTACTATCAAAATATTTATTGGCCCTACAAGAATCATCACTTACACCAGAAGGTGCGAAATTTACATTATGTGAGAGTCTTTCTGTACTTTACTAAAGCCCTACTGTAGAATCTTTTCTCTGGAAGTCTATCTACAATTACTGCATAAACACGTTATTTTCTCATTGCCCAACTAACAGTTCCATAAACAGTGTCATACAATTGAGACCTTTATCCGAGAGAAAACCAATAATTTTAAAGTTGTGGGATCACCCCATCTTACTTTCATACCATCAAGACATTTAACGATTATGAAATACGCCCGGGATCCCTGGTCCCAATAATGCATTTACATTTTTTGATTATGCCTTTTATCATCAATTTTTAACCCGTAACACAGTAAGGCTACTTCAGCAAAACATCATTATTAACTTTAGCAGCCATTTTACATTAGCTACTGTTGTTGGTCAGGATATGTCAACGTTATC